CGAGCCTCGTCGGTGGGCACGGCCCTGAGGTGGCGCAGGTCGCTCTTGTTCCCCACCAGCATGATGACGATGTTGTTGTCGGCGTGGTCCCTCAGCTCCTTCAGCCAGCGCTCCACGTTCTCGTACGTCAGGTGCTTGGCGATGTCGTAGACCAGCAGCGCTCCGACCGCACCCCGGTAGTACCTGGCGAGGGGGCAGAGTCAGCTTCTATCTTTGGAGGGTCTGAGGGGGTTTGTCAAGCCAAGCGCTGTGATTATTGTAACCGAGGCAACACTCACGCTGAGGTGATTGCTCTGTAGCGCTCCTGTCCCGCTGTGTCCCAGATCTGAGCCTTTATCGTCTTTCCGTCCACCTGGATGCTGCGGGTGGCGAACTCCACCCCGATGGTGCTCTTGCTCTCCAGGTTGAACTCATTCCGGGTGAAACGGGACAGCAGGTTACTCTTCCCCACGCCCGAATCTCCGATAAGGACAACTGGAAGTGAAACATAAAGGGGGGGTGAGGATGTTTTAGGACTTATATAGCAGCGATTCATGTCTGCGACGTCAACTAATTTCCTTTAACTCGGTTTTAAAGGCAGTTTTATTTCAGTCGTATAGAACGTACCCCTTCCTCATATGTTGCTGTGTACTGCTGGTCAGCTGGTTGAAAAATGGCCACTGCACATTTCCAACTCTTACAAGGAAGATCAACTTAGAAACATAGAAACATTTTTAGTCATCACATTTAAGACTTTTCCTGGTTGATGCCAACTTCCTTTGAGGTCTGATTGATCGGCCGATTCTGACTTTTTTATTTTATGGACCTGAACGCATAAAAGAGAGAGAGAGAGAAAAAAAAAACGAGCTGCAGGCTCTTTTATAGAGGATTTAAAGAGGAGCGGCCAAAGCAAAGGAGGTGGATGGGCTGTGCTTGTCGACACCTGATGATGTCATTGGGGACAGGTTACTGTCAGATATTGTTGCTGCTGTGCAGATTGAGCTGTCAGCGTGCCATGATGGTCATAAGACAGCAGCAGTCATAAATCAACAGTGTGTTCAGTCAGAGGCTGAAACACTGACTGCTACTGGAGAGCCTTGCAAGCTACAGATTCTCTTTAAAAAAAAAAATCAAACTTTTTAGACAATTGTTTTTATTTTTTGTGGTAATGCAAGGACACGTTTACTCAAGGTGAAAGCCAAACACCGCCTGAGCTGGAAGCACACGGTGCCTTTTCCAAGTGAAAGTGCCGGAAAGGGATCGTTATCAAACTCTGGCCTGTTGGGAATCAGGCAGGAAGGAGCTGCCAAAAGCCTGCACTCCGAGAAATCTGACTCAACGCTTTCTCAAGACTTCTGTTCCTGTGTCATCCTGACGAGTCATCAGTATCCTGAAGCCAGGGTCCAAACAGCTGCAGCAGACCGGGGCCCCTTTGACTGCTGCATATTAATAATGCACTGGCGAGAGGCAAGCTTCACTGTAAAAGAAAAAAAAAAGCCTTCATTTGAGTTTTTGAATAAACAAAGATGTGGGTTTGCAGCATAAACTGCACATGTTTGCAGAAAACTGGACTTGCAGGAGAAGTGACACAGATTTAGTGATGTGGACTGATAAGATCCGGCTCCGTTTGGTGGAGAAAGGAGCTTGTAGTCATCAGACTGACAGAGAAGCAGCTGATTGGAAAGTACCTGTGATCACAGGTAACTAGAAACCTGACAGAAAAAAGAACAACAATGGAGTTTCCTCTTTCTTCCTTTGATAGGGAGTGAGTTTCCTCCCTCGGGGATCAAGTGTCCAACAAAGCAGCTCTTAAAAGACAAACAAAAACCCAGGATTTAGAAGATGAAGCCATGTGGGCGTCGGAATAAGATTAAAAGCCCAGTCTAGTTGAGACAGACGATGACAAAGTTTTAAACGCAGCCAGTGGGTTTTATTTTCTCCTGACCACCAGCCTGCAGGACAACACGCTCTGGTTTCTCCAAAACGCGCTGAAAACAAAGAGTCAGACGTGAACACTAAGACGAGCCCTGCCACACCTAAAGCGCCTGAGAATAAGGGATGTATCGAAACAGGGGAAGTGAGTCAACGGGCAACGAAAACAGCTCGGCTAGCGACCGTTAGCCGACGTTCACCAGCGACGTTAGCGCAGCTAGCGTGCTAGCTTCGAGAGAAGCCTAGAAATGACGCCGACGTCCCGTCTGTTCCGCTCACCTTTGAACAAGAAGTCGTACTCGTCGTCTCTGTTCCCCATTTCTGATGCTCAGGTAGCTCCAGGAGAGAGCGGCGACGCGAGAAAACAGTTCCCCGCTCTGAACAGGGTGGCGGTGCGCCGAATCAGGAGGAGACGAGGCGCACGTTGCGTAAGAGGAGCAGAAACGCTACGTGACGTACCGCTACGCAGCTTCTGCAGGTGGGAGGAAATACGTGAAAAATAATTATATAAATAAATAATAATAATAATAATAAATATCCCAATCTGGTCCGTTTGACAACATACAGAGTTTCAGAAGCAAATCCTCCTGAGAAACATTAGATTGTGTGTCTGGCATTAGCCTGAGAGCTATTTATGTGTAGAGTTAATTACTTTGCTAAAAAATTATTCATCAGAGAGCAAATCATTGCAGCGCTGTGAACACCAATTACTTCCCTTAAAATGTGGGAGATTTTTTTTTTACACAGGACCGACAGGGAATCAGACTTTGGAGGATTGAAGTGAATCAGAAACTAAACCCTCACCATATCTATTGTAAGAATCTAAATTATATAGCACATGACTTGCTTAGAGAAAGCTCCAGTCCATTTTATGAGTGATGCAACATGCATGCTGTTTCATGCATGGATGCATTTTCATGCATTTTAAAAAAAAAATGCGTTTCACTAAATACTATTGAGATTTGCCTTCTTTTCTCCATACTTTAACCCCACAGTGATGTAAATTTAACAGGACTGCAGTGAACGTGACACAGAAGAATAAATGCAAGAAAGATTCAAAAAACAAATCAGGATATAGTAGGACATCTGTTACTTCTTCCTCAGGAGCAGGGATAGAGCAGGTTTATGAATCCTTTTTCCATTCATCCATCATAACAAGGTTGTATGGGAACCCAAGAGGGATTTAATGTAGGGTCTCTTGCCCATTGCAATTATTGTCATCTCAGGAGAGACAGAGTAGAGAGGGGAGGCTTTTCTTTTCCTTATTATTTTTAAGCACTCAGTGGAGTTAGTTGATTAGCTGAGCTGCCCATACTTTGGGGCTCCCAAGGATTTACACAAACCTAAAGCATAAACCTAAACTACCAATGAACTACTAGAGCTCAATGAATGTGGTAGAAAGTGCCAAATACATACTCTTAATTACAAAAAATAATAAACAAATTTTGCTGCTGTTGGAAATCGTGGTGCTTCATACCTCATCTGAGCTCTGCTGTAATTGAAATGCTTAAAAATGACACTTTGCTTTTCAGCTGTAAGGCCCATCCAGATAAAGTTTAAAGAACATGGAGGATGAGAGATGAAGCCGGGCTCCAGAGAGCAGCACACCGCTGCAAATTCAACCCTAACTCGGTGTGGTTGCACGTCCCACAGTGAGAAAGTGAGAAACATAACATGTGTAGCTGCAGATAAACCTCACTGACAGTGAGTCATTAGCTGGATCCAAACTAATCACCGCTCTAAGAGTGAGTAGCAAACTGGACTTTGGACAAAACGTGCTGGCATTATTCATCTGGCACAGCAGCTTTATTAAGGGTAATCCGGTACTGTTTATGTCTGCACATTCCTATGAATCGTGCAGTGATATGAAAGGCTCTCATGCAGCAAATCAGCCTGTACAACGATTGCTTCATGTGTTTATTATGTTCGTTCAACTAAATCACAGCACCAATAACTAGAACCTTCACATAACTACAGTTTTTGAAATAAGGACATTCAAATTGTGTTTTTCCCCCCTCTTTGTATGTTATTACATCAAAACTCACTTCATATTTACTTTTTAGGTTTTGCAAAAATATGAAACATAGAAGGAGTTTATATAGTAAATACTTTAGTAAGTGTGCAATATTTTCTTGTGGAAAAATGTGAGTTTGTAAAGATAAATATTGTACGTTGGTGAGGAAATCCCCAGTTAAATGCAGCAAATTTATAAAAACATATTTGATCCACCTCAGCCCTAATTATTATTATCATTTCACAACTTCATAAGCATTGAGAAAAATGATGAAGACGCAGCCACCGGAAATTAAAACAATAGTCAAGAAAAGGAAGTCGTGAATCCAGTCCAATTTTGTGTCTTAAAAAAGTAATTTAATTTAATATGTAAATTTAATCAATTAATATCTGCCATTTATACACTTTTTAAAAAGATAAGTTTATCAAAACAACCTGCTAGAGAAACTGAACTTCAAAGTCTCAGTGTTGAATTAAATGTTGCTTTTTTACAGTGAACTTTAAGCAAAACAATCAAAAACACGTCTCGGTTTCCGAGTCGTGTCAAATTTCCAATCCAGGAATACTGAGTCACACAAGAGTCAGAATTCCTGTAGCCTATGACGTGTGACTTTTTAAGAATTCATTTTAAAAAGAAAATATAAATTTAAGAAAAATTAATATTGCAATATTTTAAAAAAGGATCACTTTGGAGAACTTATAATTGATGATATGATATATAATATAATTTTGCAACAAAAAAAAAATTTCTTCTAAAGATTTTGACACATCTGTACAAGTGGATACCAACACCTTTGTTCTTTTAAGCCATTTTGGAAACACATTGACCTCTAAACCTCCAGGTTTACCGTAAAGCTTGCTTTTCTTGTCCCTGCTATTTTAAATTTCAAAAATTCCTTCGAGCTCCTTCCTGGTTTCTGGGTTTGGCGCAGGTACTTTCCAGCTGTGAGCACGCGCAGGCCTGCGTCAGATCCAGTCCCACCTGTGGATATGCTCGAAACGCCCCGCCCCTTTTCGCACATTTGCCCAATCAGCAACGAACTGCTGATCGTTTTGGGTTGTTTTTTTTCTTCACAGACCGAGCTGCTGCTGCTTTAATATGCAATGAGCAGCAGAGCGGGCCGCTAAAACACGAAGTGTAGTTCTAACGTGAGGATCAAAGTTTCATTTGATCTGCAGGGAGATCCTTTATTAGTATTATTATTCTTTGTACTGCTGCAAGAATCTACCTGTTTAGTGATGGCAAGACGAAATGGGAGGAAGAAGAACCAGCTGCCAGACCTTTACTATGAGGGTTACATGGAGAAGAGGTCCTTCAAAGATAAGGTAGACCATGCATTTCTGTTTATCTACTCATTTTTGTTTGTTTCATTAGTTTTTTCAAAGATAAATAATCCTTTTAAAACTGCACACACCCAACTAAGAGGCTAGAGTTGTGACTGCATAGTTGTCACAACTATGTCAGCATCACCACAAACCAATTGTGGTAATATAAGAATGAACTTGTGCCTAACCTCAATTACCTGTTTTAATTGGATGTTGATTATGTTATAAAAATGAGACACAATGCTTGGAAAGGACAGTCTGTGTGTGTTTGGGTGCAGGACAGCAGCATGTACTTTGCGGCTTTTGTGCTTTTTTTTTGTTCACTGAAAATTGGATGAAGTTCAGCAACCTTTAGTTGGATGCATGACTTACGAAAAATCTCTGCAGAAGAGCCGACAACACGTTCTTTTATGTGTTATAACCATTTTATGGGAACCCCCCCCCCACACACACACACACAAAAAACAAAAACATTGAATGAGTAAAAAAATGTGTATTAACGGTTTGGACCTGCAACTGGAAATCGGTTATGGCCAGGAAAAGCCGGATTGGTGCATCACTAGCTGAAATACATCTTTTCTTGTTATTACTATTACAAATAAATGTTTGATATTACAAAATGACGCAGCAAGTGTATGAAAGTTTGATTATCTGTGAGGAAAGCTGCATATGATAATTGAACTTTTCTGCGGAGTTGGGTGTCCAATTGGTCCGATGGCTTGTCCGTCTGCTCTGTGTGGTGCAAAAATTGGAGCAAACCAAACACTGACTGGATATTAAAGGGTCAAACAGGCGACACGAGCTCTAAACTCAACCAAACCTGAGGCCAGTTTGATTGAGGATGGTAATCTGCTCTTCCCAAAAATGACCTGGAAAGTTTGACCTCACATCTCTGGGTTTAATCTCACTGTTCTGTTGACGAGGTTGCATGATTTGGATTAGGTCCAGGCAGTTCTACCTAATTACTGTTATTTATATGACACATAGTTTCTGACGTTGACTCATAAACACCAATCTAGATAGCTACTTCCTTGTTGCTGTTTATATTGTTTATCATCTTCTTTATCATCTTCTTCTTTGTTTTCCACATTTTCTTTCTGCTCAGAGTCAAAATGTTTTCGCTGTTGGTTTCACGCCATGTGAGTTTTTTATTGAGCTCGTCTCCTTGTGTGTTTGCGCAGACGTCTCGGAAACTGTGGACCTGCTTGTGTGGGAAAACACTTTTTTTCTACAATGACAAAAGAGACGATGATGTGAGTCTTCTCGGGGATATGTTCTAATAAACCCCCCCAGATTGGTCTGTTATTCATTGCTCTTTGCGTGTGTCATCAGTACTTAGAGAAGCTGGATCTGTGTGAAGTGGTCTCGGTGACGGACGACAGCAGCGTGGATCCCAACTTGGATGCGGCCAGATTCAACGTTGAGATGACGCAGGAAAGCATCAAATTTACTGTGAGTGGATTTGTGCAGAACAACTCCTCCTGTTATTTAGCTTGTTCAGATTCACTTTCTTTCAAAATGTATCTGAATATTTGTGACGACTTCTTTCTTCTTTTCTGCAGGCCCCAAATGCAGAATCTCGGGAACTTTGGAAGGGATTTATCGAGTCTGTGGCTAAGGTCTGTCCTCTGGTCATTGTTCACATTTCACCATTTTGTGTTCCTCCCACTCCCACACGCACACACACACACGCACACGTGGTTCAAATATGAAATCGTGTCTCCCTGCAGCTGGAGTTACCCCTCACCTTGAACCTGCTGCCGGGTCAGATCCACATGCTGAGAGAGACGATCCAAAAGGAGAAGGAGAGGCTAACAAATTCAGAACCGAAACCGAGTCCTCCTGCTGCTGTCAAAACAGAAATGCCTGCGTGAGTCTCACTGGAGTAAACCACTTCTAAAGGTAGATGAACAAATGAGTGAGGGAGTGAGGTTTGCTTGTGCTTCGATGCAGCTGCTACTACGAGGTGCCTTATCTGGAGGCTGAGCTGCTGCTGGAGAGAGAAGCCAGCAAAGGAAACCTGCTGCTGAGACCCGGGAAGCAGAAGGGCTCCTTCGCCATAACCACCAGACAGGATCTTGACGGGTAAACAAACACGTTGTTACAACAGCCACAGCCAGATTTCCCCTCCACATAAATTTCCAGCTGCGGCGCACAGTCGACTGTGTTGTCTGTTGTTGGTTAAAATGCAAAATTTTCTCCTCTAGTGTTGATTTTTTTATTATTAGTATTAATCAGTTCATCGGTCTCTCTTTCAGACCGATTTTCCGTCACTATCGAGTACTTCCAAAACCAGAGGGAGGCTTCTACATTGCTGTCAACAAACCTGTGAGTATCGATCATATTAAATTGTCACCACATAGAAATAATTGTTCAAATATTGTTTCCCTTTTGTGCAGTCCGACAAGCGTCTGAATACAAACAATGCAGCATCTTGAAAAAAAAAAGAATCTTTTAAGGTTACAACCAAAATAATTATTGTGGTTTTTTTTTTTCAGATTGCAAAGTGGTGCAGTGGAAGTAAAGTTATACATTGGTTTTTATTGTTGTAGATTTACAGGTAACTGTAAACCCTTTATTCCTCAAATGAATAAAGGAAGGAAGACGGTTTAGATCAGAGCATATGTTTATAGGGCTCAGTCAAAGTTTAGACCTGAATCCAGTTCTTAAAACAGTTTTTTATTAACGAGTTGCAAAAATACCGGCCTTCAAATGTACAAAACTGCACGACTTTTTAGACCTTGGCCCCGAGAGTCTTACAGCTGGGGCCACAATACAAATTCACTCCTCGCTTTTCAGCTTTTTATTTGTAAAAACAGATGAAAAGCCAAATCAAACACAATGGAGTTCTCTTTTACAAAAAGAGGAGAAGGTTCAAGGAGTGTGACTCCACTTCCAAGTGATTCCAATTGCATTTGTTTACGGTAATAAAACCTCAGTCAAACCTGATGCACTGGATAGCTGCAGCTTTTTATGACTTTGTCATAATAATGAGTGAATGAATGAGTTGGTTTATGAAAATTCTGACCAAGCAGGAGGCGACTGCCAGTAAAGGTTGAGGTGGCTGCCAAAATGTTGCATAAATGAAAGACGTCGATGAATGATGTTTCGCTTTAACAAGAAAAAGTTATGAAACGTGGCTTTAAACTCAGCTTTCCAAAGTTTGTGACCTGCTCTGCAGACGCTGCGCTTTTGTTTCCTTATTGGATTGAATTGCTTTACAGCGGTTAAGGGCGTTGCTCTTTGTGCAGGTGCACTTCGACTCGCTGCATGACGTGGTCACCTACATGTTGGAAAAAACTGATGGATCTTTCACTCCCCTCAACATCGAGGCTCATTACGACAAGAACATCTGTATGTTAAACCGATTTTCTATTCTTTCCTCCCAAACACGCACATACTCTATTTGTTTTTATTCAACTAAGTATTTGTGATCAAATTGTGAACATCCTTCCTCCTCCAGCTTTCGTTGCATGTGATAATGAAAACGGTGAGAGGACCCAGCAGCCTTTGCTGCCACCAGAGAATCCTAATCCAGGTACTGTCCTTCAATGGATTGTTTTTCCAACCTTGAGAATCAGCAAAAAGAGAAAGTCCTCTCATGTTTCAGTCCCGTTCTTTTGATTCCGACCAGCTACAGCAGTTTCAGAAAAAATTAGTTCTCGCAGACATGAGAGAACTCCCCTAAAGGTTGTTGATTTAGAAAAATAAATCCATCTCGACCGTCACGCGGATTAACACATGGGTCACCGGAAGCAGCTCTGCGTCAGGCTCGTTATCAGCGAGGTTGTTCCATGACGGCGCTGAGGTTCTGTCCGCCTCACGCTCACCTGTCCGATGAAGCGTTCAGGGCCTGCGCCCATCACCTTTCAGTGACTTTTGTTCCTGACAAAAGTCGCTGATATTGTCACAAAGAAACGGACAAAGAGCAACAATAAACATGTGAGCTCTAAAAAATAAACAAAAACGAAGAGGAATTTGTTTCCGATAAGGATGAAAGAAAGAACGTAAACAGAGCCGCTTCCATCTAAAAGTAGCCATTCACTAATCTTACAATCAAAAACGTCAGTGGCCCTTATTGGACTTTTATTTGATGGACTAACGCATAACTGTGAACATCATTTTTTTCAGGGCCTTAGATTTTGGACTTTAACTAGGCCATTCTCACAGAATATTTTGAGTTCAGCTCAGGCTGTGTGCTTTGGATTATTGTGCGGCTCAGAACTGAAATCTCTAGCAGATTTCAACTGTATTTGGCTATGAATCTTACCATAGATTAGCTTCCCTGCAAAAAAAAAAAACAGTCTTGCTACAGACTCTCAGTTTGGTTGCTACGTGACAAAATGTACATTGGCAAGGCAATGTTTTTACATTTTAGAAATTTGGGGAAAAAGTTTTTTTTAGCTAGATTTTTTTCTTGTCATAGAATAGACAAAAAATGTCATAGATTAGTCATGATTTTTGACCAAGTTTTTCCAAGATCAATCATAAAATGATCCTGGATTACTAAACACTGTTAAGAGTTTGTCTCTGTCACTCCATTTTCATTCCTAATCTGAATTGCACGTTTTCTCTCTAGTTACTGGAAAAGCGAGGAATAATGAACCGGAACAAGTCAAAAATCTTCCTGCTGCTGATAAGCGTAAGTAGACCTGCCCTCAGTCATTCCATCCATCATTCCTGGCACCTGGCCCGCTTGTTTTCCGAAAATAAACCGGTGGGTCTTCATTTTTGCCCGCGTCTGTCGCTGACTAACGACCTGTGTTCAAACAGAGGAGAAAGCGTCTGTGACGGATGGCTGCTCCTCTGGCGAAACTCCACGTAAGTTCTTCCGTCTGATTGTTTCCACTCTGTAGAAAATACTTTCCTTTATCCGCCTGGACTCACAGCTCTGTCTTTCCTACATTACGTAACCAGCGGTACCAGAACCGAGGAAAATACCTCCACGTCCAGCACCACGAACATCTGTCTCAACTCAACCGGCTGCCAAACCTGCTTTCCCTACAAATGCTCCGGAGAAGCCCAAGATACTCTCAAATCCAGAAATGGAGAAGCAGAGTAAGTCCTTATTATGCGCCCAGTTACAAGTAGCCCTGTCACAATAACCATGATAGATCGACCCAGAAGTTATCGCGATAAACGATAACATTGTTGTTTTGAGACCATTTTCAAGCAAGAGCCCATTTCTACAGATCAATACACTTTCATTTCTGATGAACATTTACCACTGGAACTGGAAGACATTTTTAACACCCAAAATAAATAAAACAGAAACAACAAATAAAATTAATCATAAAACTGTCTTTCAAAATAAGGGCTGGTTGAGGCTAAAACACCAGACTGAAGACATCCATCCAGCAGAAAAGGAGAACAACAATAAATTGTACAAGTGAAAATGATCGAGTTTGTTTTAATTCATCATGCGATTAATTAATTCATCGATTATTGTGACACAATTACAAGCGCTGCATAAAAACACAGAACCAAAATTACTCCTATTTGCAAAATGCCAGAATGATGAGCAAGAATCTTTTTCTTTCCTTCAAAGTCAGAATTTAAATGAATAAAACTATATGAGTTGAATCAAATACTTTGAGTACCCACTGCTATATTTTTTTAGGGGGTTTGAACCACTTCAGCTACACCAGTTCACTCATGAGAGAAGCGTTGCAGCTGAACCAGGAGGAATATGTCGCTTTGCTGCCAGTTTTTCTTTTAATTCTTGCTGCTAATTTTCTGTGGGACAGAAGCCAAAGGTTTGTGATGGCCGCTCCCAATCACTCACTTTGTTGCCCTTCAGCGAGCTGCAACTAATTTGAGTGTTTCCTTGGGTTGTCGGTTTGGAAGACCCCGTCCCACCCAAGCTTTAATTTCCTGGCTTGAGATGTTTGTTTTTTCCTATTCCTATTTAGTGAAATGCAGCCAAATACCCACATAGTGCCACTATTTTCTCCAAATGTGGCCCTGGTCATCATCAGGAAATATTTCAAACTTGAATTTTATTTTATTAAATTTTATGTGGATATAAGACATGTTTCAGTGTGGATAATGACATTCAAAAATCTGAATTAATTACAGAAAACCAAAAAGCAAAACAAAAACATAATCATATTATGTTTCACTATTTGTCCAGGATCCAGGTGTAAGTACATTTATGAATTTAAAAAGGTTATGACAAAAATAATAAAAGTTATTTAAAAAAATCTAAGGATTATGTTGCACAGTTCTGCCATCTGAGCAAGTAGAATTTTAATAATCGTGCGATTAAGCCGATTCATCATCATTGAGGGAAAAAACGTTTTCATGCAGCATTTATCTGATTTCTACTGCAAATTAATCTGCACAGAGCTAAAAATCTGTTTGTTTTTTTTTATTATTTTTAGTTCTTCCCGCAGCTTTGTCAGAGCTGAAACTGAGGCTGGGGACCAAGACCAAGCTGCACGTTTAACGTCTTCTGCAGTCATCCTTGTGGACAGAAACACATTGGAGCAACAAGTAGAGCTGAGTGGAGCCACATGCAGATCTGTTCCTGCACGATATCAAACAGGATATCCTCCTCCTCCTCTTTCTCCTTCTCCTCCTCCTCGGTTGGCTGTCTGCAGTAAAGCCTCTCTGCAGATTAACACCGGATTGATTTGCCTCCTCTGGACATTTATTAGCAAATCAATCGACTGAAGATGGTTGGACAAATTATCTTCTCGTTTCTCTTGTTCATTTTGCACTTTAGCTATTGACTAAGCCGCCTCAGACTTTCCGTCAGTGTTTTTTTTTCCCCCTCTTACTCTTAGAATAAAATGATAAGCAATTTATTTGACGTAGTAAAAGTATGTAAAATGTACACAGTATTGTATTAATACTGTCTGGAATCAGTGTGACAGAAATAAGGGATGGGATTCTTATTTCAGTTTTTGTTTGTCTGTGAGTGTAAAGAGTAAAACTCTCATCAGCTTTCATAAGACAAACTTCTAGTATGTGCCATGCAACATATATATATTTTATATATATAGTGAATTAATCACTTGTATAGTCTGTAATCCATTTTCATATTTACATTATTTTCTTGTCATAGCTTCAACTTTTCTGTTGTCTGAAAAGAAAATGTCCAAAGACAAAGCGTTCTCACTCATTTATTACCTCAATTACTGATACACTATAGTGGAAAAATGAAACTATTTACAAGACATTGTGATATGCTGCCAGCATGTGAAATAAAGTGTCGTTACCTCTCAGTTGGATGAGTCGTTCTGTGAAGCAAAGCCGGCTACATTTACTCAGGAAGAGAGGAACTAGAACACCAACCATTCGAAACGCACAACATGGATGTCGCAGAACAGAGCTGAAGACGCGTCCGTCCCGGGGTTCTGAATCACGTTTTGATTTGTAACCTCTGCGTGAAAAGTCTTTAAATGAAGTCGCTCTCTTATTTGAGGAGCTTATTTTTACATTGAAAAGTCAAAACTTTCCTTTTTAGTACATTCAAAGGGAAGGTTGAATTAATCTAATCCGAATTTTTCAGTCCTATTTAATGTCTAATCCTAGAAATTAAATGTAATCGAAGCATTTCACAATATTTAGATATTATTTTAATTGACAGGATTATTCCGTTTCTCTTTGCCACTCTTCAACACGTCACTTAGATAAATAGGAAGTAAACAGCTGCTTGTCTGTATCTACGGTCGGAGCGATTATTTTAAAACAACTGGTACTGTAACTTGTAGTCACCAAGTTTTCACTGTAAGAAGTTTTCTACACACCAACCAGATGAGTCTTGCTTGAAAACCATCACAAACATGTGAGGTTAACGTTTTGGTCAAATGAGAATAAGATTTCAGAAACCAACTCTCCAGTTTATTTCAGGAAAAACAAAAATGATATGTGGAACAGCATCTTATGCCTCTTTCTCTTGAAGTCTTTGAAACATCAAGACATTTTTAAGAAAAATCTAGCTGCCGCAGCCAGAAAAGTTGACTCTCATTGGGACTTTGGTTGATCTTTCAAACTCTGTGCCCCTCCCTTGTGCGATATGTTTGCATCAAAAGCCTAAATTTAACCGAGTTGAAGCCAAAACACAACCCAGAAGTCATAGGAACCCAAATAATTGAGTTTCAGACCCCTGATCTACAAGACGATCTCCCTCTATGTGCTCCAACATTGTGAAATGTTGAAGACGAGTAAGTTTTGCCCTATTGGGAATGAAGGCTTACATTCTAGCAACAGGTTTTCAGTGAGTCTATTACAAGCCATTGACAGGTGACTTATTTTAAAGGCTTTTCACACAGATTTCCATTGAGTGCCAATAAGACAGGAGTTACAGACGATTAAATACTGCTGCGTGCTACACACATAGGACGGTCTCTCTGCTGCAAACAAAGCAGAGACATCAGATGGTCGGACCTGGCATAGCTTTAATGTTAGCATCGGAAAGTTTTAACAGGAAGATCAAGACCTACATTAAATAACATATGACTATCATTTGTAACTGTAAATACCGTTGAGTAGCATCCCTTGGCAAGAAGTCAAATATCTCGTCACAATAGAGTTAAATAATCCAGTTCAATGCTGAGCAGCTTAAGTGCTGGACATTGTTTAAGTCGGACTGGTTTACTGATGAGTCAACAAAGTTATAACCTCATCATACCGAAGCTGGCGCAGAGTGGGACTTTAAAACAAAACAAGCAGGTACACAGAGGGGGGCTGCACGTGTTTGGTTCGGCCTGAGAAGGAAGGCACAGGGACGGAGCATGACCCACGAAGCTGCAGCCGACGACACGGCTGACCGTTCAGGTGAAGCTGAGGAAGCAGCGGCCAGCGCTAAAAGTCGCCGCCCTAGCAGCTGGATGAATGTGCAACGAGACATTAACTACTCGTATTTGGGCCTAATGAGTCCAAAGCGTTGCGACCAGTCGGCAGATTCTGTCACTCAGAGAACAGCTCGCCTGTTTGCTCCCCTAAAAAAAAAAAAAAAAATGTATATAATGTCTGCCATCATGCAAGACAGAAACGTGTGCGTCTCCGCCTGCAGTCGGTGCAGAGGATTCGACCTGCAGCGGTGACTGAAGCCGGATGGAGCCGAGTGCGGCGGCGACGGCGTCTAGGTGAGGCTGGCGTTGGAGCTGCTGGTGCCGCTGTTCTTCCTCTGGCCGCTCTGGACCACAGTGGGAACCTGCAGGCCTGTTACCACCGAGAAACTCCCATTCCACACCTGCAGTGGGGGGGAGCACATCCAAGAACCGTTTTCAGATCTGTCACTCCAGCAACAGACGCTTTGAGAGAGAGTTTTCTCACCATGAAAGCTGGAATGACGGGTTGCAGGAACTTTGTTCTAAAAGTGTGCATCAGCTGCTTGGTTTTAGCGTTGTAAAATGACAGAACACCTGCAGAGCAAAAACCAGCAACAATCACACTTTGTGAAGAAATCCTTCAGTTTAAACCTTTGGCAGCTCACCAGGTCTGGCTGCACATCAGCCATGCCCAGTCTAGACCAGAAGCTTTTGTACCATTTTGTTTTTTTTTAAATGGTACAAAATGGTCTGAGTTATTTTTCCTACTTCAATTGATATAATATGGCCTCCTGCACTTCCCATATCTGCAGGCTCTGTTTCTACACTTTTTTTCAGCCATTATGAAGGTTTCCTGAGGGAGTCTTCCCAAGCGAGCAATAAAGTCAAGTCTAAGTCTAGTTGCTAACAAACTGTAACATGACATGTTTTTCAGAGCTGCCTTTAAACGCAGAGAAGCTTGTGCTGGTTTTACACCTGTGGATCAGGAAACTTATATGAGTAGTTTTACTGCACTGTACTTTATACTTTTACTTGACTAATATGAGCTATTGGTACTCTTGCTTGTGTAGATTGGTTTTGATTTAAAGAAATACGCTTAAAATCTTGGAAACATCCGTTATATATGAGCTCATGTTTAAGCTAATCTCAGCACAGTCACTCAGCATTTCCTATGTGTCACTTGTTTACATCTTTATTGTTTATTTTCTTTTAGTAAGTATGGTTATTTGATTACATATGTATTAAATACAAAAGCCTGCTTACTGTGTCCTCCCCCAAAATCAGTCACCGCCCTCCCAGCTGAACTCCTCGCCGCGGTCTCACCTTCGTCGTAGTTGACGTAGACTCCGACAGTGTTCGGGATGGGGCAGTCCAGGGTGCGCGCCTTGTTGTTGTGCTTGGCGGTGAGGCTCTGCTGCAGCCAGTTGTTCAGGTGGATGCACCAGGAAGCGCTGCTCTTCCCCAGCTGGTCGAACCTGCCCAGGCTCCGCAGAGCGATGCCCACGGCGAACGCCTTGCTCTCCTTGTCCAGCTTCACCTCCCAGTACTGCTGGCCAGCGTCGATCATAGTGTCGGCTGTCGGGAGATGATATTGCACGATCAACGCCTTTCTAGAGCTGCAGAGGCAACTGACCAGACGAGAAACATCCGACACCATGTGTGATGTCTTGCAAAAATATTCGTACCCATCAAGCGGTGTCTCATTTTTCATGCTATGCCTGCAAGCCTAAGTGTAGTTCATGTGAACGCGTGCGACAAAAAATCTTGTTTGTGTCGCTTTCGTTCTAAAGGTTTAAAACAAAAAGAAAAAAAAAGGTTTCAGGGGTCACATGAGGTCAATCTGCAATACCCAGCCAAACTAACAAAATCAAGCAAAATTGATTCAGATTCATTTTGCTCTAAAACTGATTGGCACAAAATGTTTGATTTCGTAATCAATTACAAATAGAACATAGATTAATTCTCTTGTGGACGTCAACTTTTTTTAAGGATTCATTCGAGGATTCAAAGAACTTCATTGTCTCACATTTACATGTTTATGGTCCCAGTTTACGACTTCACAGCACCGTTTCATGTTTGCTTGTTCATTGTGTTACGTTTTCATCATGTGAAGCGCTTTGCATGCCTATCAGCCTGAATGTGGACATGCAAAGACATTCAAGTCTTTTGTTCGTCAGCCGTGCGTTGCTCTCACCCAGCACGGTGTAGGACTCCGCGGTGAACCTGTCTCTGCCCGGCCGCGCTGTCGGCGCTCTCTTGGGGGACATCAGCGCCGACCTGCTCACACGAGAGACGGCTGCTGGAGACCCTCAAAGCAAACACCGAAACGTTCCTCGCGTGCAGCGGCGGAGTCTTACACAAACCTGGCGGGGGAGTGCAGAGGGGAGTTGGTTCTGTTCTTCTCTTTGCGGATTTCCTGCACCTTTCCTCCGCTGCTGTCCCACTCCACGCTCAGGTCGTCCACCTTCAGGTTCTGGTGCGCCGAGCTGGAGTCCAGTTTGAAGGTGAACGCTGCGGGAAACAACAACAAGGTTTCAAATGGATGGGGATTTGCAGCTCAAACGGAAGAACTTTCTAAGCCTTTCTATGGTCATCAGATGAAACGATTAATTAAAAAGTCCGTCTACTAGTTGAGTAATCAATTAATCATTAGCTGGAACATGCGGACATTCCTTGAAAGAAAACAAAAAATATATACATTTTACATTTAAGACAAAAAAAACTTTGTAAATATGTTCTACCCAAAGTTTTAGCTTCACACAATTAAAAGTTTGTATAATAAATAAATAAATCCACTGACCCCTACAAATACCATGTCATTAAACCATCTGACTATCCAATTATTAATTCTACTAAGAGAAAAAAAAATACTCAACAGATCAGATCATCAGGTATTCAGTTTTAGCCAAACAGAAATGGCTGAGCTTTAACGTTAAAAATGTTTTTTATCTGCAGATGCATCCATTGCTATAAATAATCAAGTGTTCAATAAAAGAATGTTGTTATTGCATTTTAGGCATGAAAACAGCAAAAAAAAACAAAAAAACAATTCTAATAGAAACTGAGTCAATTACATATTTCCATTAATTTCCAATGTTGAATAAAAAAGCTAAAGTGGTGAAATGGAAAACAATCTGCAGAATGTGTCAGTTTTTAACCGTCAGACTAATCGATTACCAAACTAATAGTTAGTTTGCGGCCCTGCTGGTTATCCCACCGTGGGTTTCTATGGTGACTGGCTCGGAGAACTCCCCGGCCACGGCCTTGTTGCACGCCCTCACTCTGAACGTCATGTAGCGGGTGTCGAAGCGCAGGCCTGAGAAAGGAAAAAGGAGCACTGAGTACGTAACTCTGGTCAGAGCTTAGCCACGGATCTCTGGCCGCAGGCCTCCTGCTACCTGTGAGCGTGTGCTCCGTCTCCCGGATCCCCTCCACCACCATCCAGGGGTAGTCCTCTCTGATACGCGGCGGGCCCTCGTGGTTCGTTCGGCGGTGCTCCAGGATGTAGTGCTCTATCTTGTTGTCGGGTTCCGGTAGGGTCCAGACGATAGTGATGGTGTTGTCACACACTTGGCACTCTGACACCTGGATCTCTGGAGTGGCGGGAACTGAAACGAGGAGGGTGAGAGCGGGTGACAATTCCCCTCAGACTCATTTCAGAACAGAAGCAGGTTGTGGAAAGGTCAAAAAGAGCTTGTCTGTTATTGTACTTTGAAATCACAGGACAGTTTCAGGTATCACGTTCTCCCACCAGGGGGCAGACTTCCGCCATTCAGGCTGACTGCGGTAAACCATGAACACTTTCCACCAAGGGCAAAAGGCTTGCCGTCAACAAAACCCATTTCCTGACAGCTGACCAGTTAACAGCTGTACATCAGGAAACAGTAAAACGATCAGCAAACAGCAGCTCCAACTCCTCCGACTATGAGATCCCTGTTAAGTTTTCAAAACCAAGGTTCCTTAGACAGGTGTGAAATGACAGATCTTTGTGGTTTCCCTTCAGAGCGCGACCCCTTTCACACTATGAGTCGTCATTTGACTTGCCGGCTAAGTGGAGCACATCGCAGGAAGTCCACATGTTTGACACAAAGCCTTTGTTTGGCGCTAAGCTCTGTTTTCAGGCTGTGCTGCAGACAAAGGCCCTCGCTGTGCGCACTTTTTGTCACCTTTGTATCGTTAAAAGATCTAATTTTACTTCTGCAAGTTGCTTGCTGTGCAACCTTGTGTTACCCTGCACGTTTCTGAAGGAAGTTAGCATCACTCAATCAGACATAGCTTAGGAGAAATAAATGTAAAGCTGAATTGTTTCTGGTGAAAACACACTTGATTTGTAACTTGGTTATAGCTCTGCTGACCAAGCTGACGTTGCTAGTGTTGCATCATGAGGTTTTTCTTCAGAAAATGCAGCTGGAAAAGCAAATCCTGCAGCATCACAACCGTAAGTAAGTTATAAAGAAATTATGTAGACCGTGAAAAACTGATGAATTGATTCACCATTTAACTTCGATTTGAAGCTTTTCAATGTTTAAGTAAAGGCACGGGCATTTAAATCATTACATTCTTCAAAACATAGAATAGCTACCGATCTGTGAAGTTATCTTCATAAACACGTCAGCAGCTGCCTCTGATGTGGGAGCAGTGTTATTAAAGCGTTTGAAGAAATACATGAGAACTTTATGTGAGTCCAGATCAGCAGCTTCTGCTCTCCATCAGATTTTCCTGAGGGATCCAGGACAAAAACTTCCTCTACAGATTTCAGGAGAGATCCTTTGTCAAGATTTCCTCGCAATCAAACTGAACTTGCTTGAGAACATTCATAACTCTGGGATTCCTGAATCAAGGAGACATTGTCTCTCTTGTCTCTGTGCGATCACGGCAGGTTGTTCAGAGGTCAGAGCCACAATGCTCTCCACCGACACAGAGATGCCGTAAATAGTTTTCTGACTGAAATCTTTGAGTGATGATATCTTTCTTCATAGGAAAGACAAATATAAAAAAAAAAGACTTTATGCTGAAAATACACATGAAAGTATGAATCAACACATCAGTTAATAGCCAACTACAGGATGTATGTTTAACTTATAAAATATGATAAATGGTCAGAGGAAAATTCCTTCATGAAGAGTTGCAAACATAAACACAGAAAGCACTGTACTTTATGAGGTTAAATTAGACACCGGTGGCCATGTGAACATCTCCAGTCAATTAGAATCACACAAAAAAATATAATGATTTCAGCAGAAGTTCATCGCTAAACAGGTTGGAAGTTCTCAGAGTGCTTTACTCAAGAAAAATAAAAGAAGAGTTAAGAGAAAGGAAAAGCTGTGGTATGAAAAGAGAGTGATGTATGTCATATTCATGACATACAGCTCTGGAGAAATGAAGAGAAACTACACTGAACCCCACTGAAAACCTCCTGGTTATTCTACTGAATGCATCGTTGTTTCTAAATGAATATCAACTTGTTTTCTTTGCGTTATTTAAGGACTGAAAGCACCACATCTTTTTTGTTATTTTGACCATTTCCCATTTTCTGCAAATAAATACGACAGTTTTACTTGGAATTTCAGAAACATGTGGTCAGTAGTTCATAGAATAAAAGATCAATGTTCATTTTACTCAAACATAAACCTATAAAGAATCGAATCAGAGAACTAATCATTTAAAAGCGTCTTAGCTGGGCGATGAGAGAAAGGACTCAACTGTTGCTCACTGGTCCAAAACTCAATTTTCAGATTTAAACTTGAGGATGTTATTTGGAAATCAAAGTCAAATGGGTCTGGATGAAGAGCGGAGTGGCATAGACGCCCAGCTGCTTGGGTTTCCAATCAGTCCAAAGTCAGAGCAGCCGCTCTTCATCCTTTGTTCTACCGACAACCTTTATGGAAACCTTAATTTCAGTTTTACGAGTTTCCATCTTCCGTTCCACTGCACTGAGGTGCGTCTGCATTTTGTTTCAGTCGGCGGCTCTCTCTCTGAGAAAAAGTGGAGCAAACCTGGGAGAAACTTGAGCCCCTGCAGCATCTCCCTCTCCTGGCTGAAGTCCACCATCAGGTGACTCATGTTGTCGCTGGCTTTCGCCTTCAGGGAGAGACGGAAAGCCGGGGCCATCGTCACGCTGCAGAAACGGGGACGGACAAAAAAAAAAAGAAAAAAACAGACACAAAACATGGAGTGGAAACAAGCGCCTGCTATTATTCGACTGAATAAAGACGATTCTATCTAAGAAACTGAGCAGAGCTACAGAGGGGTCAGGGGTCATCCAGGGAGGGGCTGACACTAGATGGTACAGACTCAAAGAGAGCAAACAAGAGCGTGCTTATTGTCTAACACATGGGTGTGGTGGCTACAGGTCTGAATGCATGCAATGCTACATTATGAGATGGCGCACAGCTCACAGGAGACTATTTCAAAAAAAGAAAATAAAAAAAAAGGGAAGCAATAGATGTCTGAGTACCGTACCTATCCTTAATGTCTTTGGCCGCCTGGGGACGAGAAGCACCGAGAGGGGAAAGAAACAAGGAGAGAAGAGATACGGAATGGAGAGAAAACTGAGTCCATCGTGTTTTTGCTTAACATGAAAAGTTGCTGAGAGGCTGAGATCAGCTTGCTGCGTGTGTGTAACAGATTTGTTCGTAGTGTGGCTGCTGGTACTCAGCATGAAAATGTTCAGATGAACAGCGAGTAGGAGGAAAGCGGCGTTACAGCAGCAGCAGCAGCTGCCGGCGGCGGCGGGGTCGGTCACCTGGGTGAAGCCGTCCGTCTCCGAGGAGCACAGCGTCTGATTGGCCAGCTCCAGCAGCTCCTCCGAGCTCTCCAGCGCTTTGGAGCAGGCGCTCAGCTGATTCTGAGGGGGGCAAAGAGAGAAAGAGGAGAAAATCTGGTAGATTCTCACGATTGTTTTCGGCATAATGAGGCTGCTGTGCTCCCCGCATCACTTGAGAGTCACAGCCGGGTCCCGGGGCTGCAGAATCCTGAACGAATATCCATTTAATATGAAACCTTTTTTTACATTTTTTTTAGTATCAGCAGTTAGGTGTGAATTAAAGCTGTAAAACTCTTGATTAATGCCACTAAAACATTTCGTCGTTTGGCTTTGCAACAAGAACTGACACCATTAATGTCAGCAGATGCTCATCTGCAGCGTAATTAACGGTATAATTTTACTTGCAAATGGCCAGGAGCAAAGCAGCGGCTGGTTTTCTTACACAGCTGAACGAACACAAATGATTGAGAGAGTGGAGAAAAAATGCTGCAAGCAAACAAACCAGAGCCATTTTGAAAACTACTCTTACGCATTATGACCGTCATGTGTTGTCCAAGTCTTTTGCCTTTGTTTTTCAGTTTTACCGAAAGCCATGAAATAAATAATTTGTACGCAGTTGACGTACTTATGTTGACGCCTCACAAAGGTATTCATTACCTGGTCCAAATTGTCAATTTACAACAACAAATTTCATTTTTTTAAAGTGTGTTATTCTTGACAAACCAACACAAAGAAGTGCCTACGAGTGAGATAGAAGAAAAACATGTTTTACAAAAGCTTTTAGGAATGAAAAGCTTTGAAAATGGAGCATAGGGTGTAAAAGTATTAGGTGGAGACAACCAGCGTGTGAAGAGGCTGCTCTGAATGCGTGTCCATGTGTCAGAAAGGCCTAGTCAAAGTCAAGAGCTGCAAAGCAGAATGGATAAAGATTTCATTTTACATGCGAAAAAGCTTTGCAAGGCAGAAACACACCATTTGCAGCTGTAATTGCAGCTGAATGTGGCTCTATTGGCTCAGGAGGAGCTAAGTAAAAAAAATGTTTTCCCAAAAAAGGAGGAAACAAAACAAGATTATGTTTTACTCTCTGTTGGACCCGCTCAAAAGATCCCAAGAAAAGTTCCAAGTTGTTGAGTGACAAACAAAAAACTGTGACAATTTTCAACTGGTCCTTCTGAAGTATCACGGCAATACGCGCAGCGGCTACCTGCAGCTCATACGTGCGGCTGGCTCTTTCCTGCTTGATCCGCGTCAGCATGTTCTCCTTCATCTCATCCAGAGCGGCGTGGAGGGAGCCGAATTCGGACTGCAGATCGTCCTGCACCCGGTTGGAGTTCGCCTGGTGTCACAGCAACCAACACAAGAATTTTTACTTCAAATCAGGGGAACGTGGCGTCAGGACACAGCCCAGTCAGAAGAGCCTGTACCTCCAAGTTCTCCAGGCTCTGTTTGAGAGTGCAGATGAAGTTGGAGATCTCCTCATTCTTCACGGCCAGCGTGTGAGTGATCTTACGCAGAGACTCCTAAGGAAAGCACAATATTATGAATGCTAGGTGGGCTGTGGGTTTCTCCTTTAACCGATCGCTGTCCTATAGCAGTTGATGCTGATCTAATAAGAGCTAAGCTGAAGTGGACGCACAAGGGTCCAGGCTCTGGGCTCCCTTTTCATCCACTTCAGAAGGGTTCATAGAGGGAGGACACTTCAGGGGCGACAGGATGCATCTATAATTTGATAATAATGCAGCCACACAATGATCCACAGATGGGAGTGGACTCACATTGTTACCCAGATCAGCCCTCCCCTGCTGTCCACCCACACAGAAAGAGCCCATTCATTAATAAACACTGGAAAATGTTTGCTGCGACAAGGCCCCCCTCCTCTTCCCTCCTCCCGTCCGGGACTGTTACAGTAATAATCCGTGGATAAACCACGACAGCAAACATTTCAACCAATTGAACTACTGGAAACTCCCAGTTCTGTCCCACAATCACACGACTGGCTAATTTGGCAGCCCCTCCGCCCGCTTCCTTTGTACACTACGCCCTGAAGACGGTCCTTTCCCCCCATCAGACACCTGTTTCTCCGGCCACAGCCCACCTTCTGGTCTCCCATCCTCCGGTTCAGATGCTCCGGCGCCGCTACAGCCGCAGACACCGACCGTATTCCCCCTCCGTTCCCCGGTTTGTGGTGTTTTAGCTCGGCGGAACTGGTACTGATGCTGCCGGAGTGGAACGCATCTTCGGGACGGACACCGATCACCAACGCCTTTGGGCCGTAGTGCTTAAAGCGCATGCGCCCGGACGGGATTGTGGGTAGTGGAGTTCCTGAGTTGTGACCTGAGAAAGGGATTATTATAAATAATAATAATAATAATAATAATAATAATAATAATAATAATAATAATAATAATAATAATAATAATAATAATAATAATAATAATAAGAAGAAGAAGTCGATTTTAGTATTTCCAGTATTTTTTATTTATTCATTTATTTTTTCCGTTATTTAAAATGTGTAATCTTAGTTCTTCCTCACTCATCAGATTGTACGCTTTCTATTTTTTTATATCTTCAGTCCTTATTGAAGAAGAAATATAATCGTTTTTCATTATCATCATCATCGTCATCATGATCGTCATCATCACGAAGGACAATTACGTTTCCTCTGTTGTCTGCACAGTTCTTAATTTTTATTTGTTTTATTTACTTCCCGACTTAGGTTAGTTTAACTCTTTATTGTTGTTGTCACTGACAATATTAATTTAATTCAGTTGAATTAATAAGATGTATTTTTTTCCAAACACGATGATGTAGTACAGAAAAACAAAGAAATATGATAAAACTCATTTGTCTTCACTATTATTACTAACAGTAGCAATAACAGTAATAAACCAAGTGAACACATGGAAATTAAAAGATTAAATAACAATATCACAAATAATTCACCATAATGAAAACTAATTAAAAAATGCAAATTAAAAAAATAATAATTTAAGTAAAAGATAAATTGTCCAAAAGAAAGTGTAAAAAAACCCCCAAAACAAATACACCAGAATGAAGCAAAAAAATTGGAGAGATTACTGATGGCTCAAAGTTTAAACATCACATTAAAACATGCATGAAAATGTTCATCCACTGAGATAAAAAAAAATAACTTACTGATTAACAATCCCTTCTGTAACTTGAAGGCACAAATATTCTGGTAAAGGCGTCACCAGTTCAATGTCTTGAGCAAATCATCAAAACATTAAAATATAATCAATTCTTGTAGCAACTGATCAGATGTGATTACAGTTGCTGATATGATGTGGCAATATTTACTGGACTTGTGCCTTTTACATTTTCTTTTAAGGTTTCAGGCTCTAGCTGTATTTCTTCAGTACATTGAGAGGGAGGGGGAAGACCTTCGACAAAGGTCTTCGGGCCACGACCCAAACCCATGATGGGACACAGGACTCGGGCCTTATAGACAGATTTGTAAAGTGCGCTACACAAATCTGGTCATGCAACCATATTCATGTTGACAGTTTGCCACAAAAGCATAAAGAAGTAACTGGTCAAACAAGACCAATAGAGACATGTTTGAGTTACGTGCAGACAGCCACTTGTGGCAGCCACAGAAACACTACATATTAACCACATCAGACCCACAGAAAGAATTGGTGGTGGGAGCATAATACTGTGGAAGTACTGTTTTTCAGAAGAGACAGGGAAGTTGGTTTGTGCTAATAGGAAGGAGGACGGAGCAAAATCAAAGGGCAACACAGGAGGGAAAAGAAGTCAGATGTTCACCCTACAACATAACATGTGCTTTAAACATACAGCCAGGCTACAATAGTGAGGTCTGAATTCAGGAGTTGGAGTGGTCTAGTTAAAGTCTACAAGTAAATCCAGAGAATCTGATGCAAGACTTGAAATTTCCTATGTGCCTCATTAATTTTTTCTGAATTTAAGATAACAATAAAATAAAAATAATAATATCAATAATAATAATAATAATAATAATAATAATAATAATAATAATGATGATGATCAGGATGTCTCTGGATGTCTAGACAGTGATTACCCAAGATTTCCTCTTCTCTCACTGGAAGAGCTGTGTAGTAGTACTTCTCTTTGGAAAATATCATAATATGTTTTTCTTTCCGTGTTAAATCAGAGCACAAAATGTCAGCAATTTCACTTCTTTAAAGAAAAGGTTCGGGTTCCTGTGCTGTCTCTTATTTTGATCTGAACAAGTCCTGAACTTCCACTCATCCGGTTTCTATTCTGCTGCAGCTTCATATTGAGCAGAGGACTTTAGAAACTTGAAGACTTTAGAGTCTTCAAAGTTTTTTTTGGCTTTTCTTGTAGCTCAGATACGTGTGTTGTTCAGAGTTGCACTGTGTGAAGACTGCTCTCTGCCTGCAGCCTGATACGACAGCCCACCTCAGCTCTGCTCAGTGGTGCTGTGGCTTGTTCTATGCTTCCTGAACACGGCTACACCACCGTCTCATCTGGTTTGTACTTATAGCATTTTACCACCAGACTTCACTTCCTCACTTCCAACGTCCCTCCGAGCCATCGAGCCCAAAACTGACTTCTTCTGTTCTGGATGGAAACCGTAAGAAATCACTAATTATGTCCCTCACCATGACGTAACTTATGCTGTGCATATGTGATGAGGGTTGCATTGTGTACTTATCATTTTAAAAATAGTTAATAAAGGTAATTTAAAGTGGCCTTTGTAGTCAAAACTACATATGACAAAAACACACAAATCCCCATTAGAAAAATTATCAATGCACAAAATGAGTAATTTGAAAAAATGTGTTATTTATGTTTCATAGTGGCAGCTCATACTATGAGCAGGGAATAATTTATATTTCTTCATAGGGTGATTTCCTAAAACAAATGTCTCCGTTACTTTTACTTCTTCTTCATGCTTGTTTCACTTCTGGTCTTTTTCAGCAAGATTTATAATAGTTTCCAGTTAATCTGAACTGCATCTTACTCCATTACTACAACTACATGACTGTAGAAAAAGTAGTGAAAATAAGAAAACCTGACAAAATAAAAAAATACAGTTTTCAGCTACTGAATGATTTTACCTTAGCAGCAACAACCACCAGCAAAAATTTGAGATGATTTAGTAATGAGTCTTGGAGGATTATTTTAATTTAAATGATTGTTTTACCTTTTTCTTTTAGGAGCAACACCTGATCGAGGTCCTGCTACAGAATCTCAAGGATTTTACTAGGCCACTCCAAAACTTTCATTATTTTGAGTCATTTAAAGTGATATCACAGCTTCATCTCATTTTCCAGCTTCCGCAACTCAACTTAATGTAACGCAACAATGGTCAGACGATTTTCTTTAAGATTTTCTGCAGAAGAGTCTAATTCATGGCTGAGTCAGTCAAAACGAATCCCTCTGACTCCTGCAGCAGCGACGCAGCCCCAGACCATAACACTACCACCACCGTGTCTGACTGTGTGATGTCTGTTCTACCGCAGATGTGAAAACCTTCTGAAAGGTTAGTTTTTTATCTTCTTGGTCCACAGAATATTTTCTCAAAAGTTGCTGATGCTCTCTTCAGACAGTTTTGATCGACTCACCACTCGTAGGAAGTGTTTGAGTTTTTTCCATTCGTAGGTGATGACGGATATCTACGCATTAAATGGGATCATGAAGAATCAAAAAAGATTTTCTTCCTCGTCTGTTCTTGAGTTCTTTTTAAGACAATAAAACTTTTTGTGTGTTTTATGTTGTCAGACAGGTAATTTGACTAATTTTTCAAATGATCCAATTTTGAGAAATTAGATATGAAGCACTTATTGAATCAGGTCAAAACAGTGGAAGACAAAATTCAGCCAATATGCTCGAGATATAATCACCCTCAAATCAGATAACACATAAATGCTCTAAATACAATGAGGCCAGTTTGCAATAAGAGACGTTCTCACATTTCTGTATCTTTACACTATTAATTATTTGCTATTTAACTATGTTAAATCTGTTTATTGTTACCAATTTAAATCTATGTAAATGAGAGCTGCTCAACTACGCAAACAACCTAAAGAATATTGCTGTGCATAAGATGGGACCTACTTTCAGTGTGCAGCTGAAGATCAGAAAGGCTGAGGTTGCAGAAGTTTGACATCCCCCTACGATCTTCAGACGCTTCTTCATCTGACCCTTTTTTTTCATCTTTCCTCACAGTTATGAAATGAAAGCAAAAAGAGCAACTCTGCACTTCAAGTGCAATGAACAGGTTTTGTTTTTTTATAATCAAACATCAAGATAAACTTGTTTCAAATAGCAATTTTCTTGTGTGTTTTTCTTCAAGTTAATTGCGTTTCAACATGTCACTGTCCGTGGCCGTTCTTGTCTCTTTATTGTACTTTAAGAGTGGAAATTGATAGAGAAAGTTCATCATGTCGTCATGTTTGCCTCTTGTCACAGGAAGCCAAATGTTTCTTTTTAGGTGACTGCGGGAATAATGTGAAATAGGGTTTAGCACCTTCTGCACCAAAACCCGCAGGAGGTTTCGCACACTCTACCTATCAATGAGGGACCTGTCTGTCTGTACAAAGACATGAAGCAAGTTGGCTCATGTTTCTCTCTGAGGCACACTGAGACACAGAAGCATGCAGGATATTCATCTTTAGAAATGCGGGTTGTACATGTTCTTTGAAGCCCTCTGGCTCAGGGCACTTATGAAACAACAGTTTGGGTTGAAAAAAAACAAAAACAACTTCCTTCTGTTTTTCTTTCAGGTTTTTTTATTTTATTTTATTGAAAGCCTACACTCTTTTCCATCTTACATTGGTTTTATGTTCACCTCCACTACAGTCACCTCCGTTCTTACAGTCCTTTAGCAGAAAGCCACTCCTCCGTTCCTTCCACCCACCCACACGCAGGTTTAGCGTGCAGCTCGGTCTGCTGCACAGAGGAAGACAGCTGAGGCAGGATGAGACTCTGAGCACGCGACCACCGCTCTCAAGGCAGGATGGAGATGTGGCTCAAAAGCGCAATTGTTGCGTTGCTAACAGGTACAAGTTGAACCTTAAAAGATTAAGAAATACTTTGGAGAAGAACAAAGCTGTATGACAAAATGTGTTTAGAGATTCAACTTTTGCATGTTTGTTTGAAGAAAGCTTAACTCTTGTTTTTCTTCATATTTCTAGTGGCAGGAGCAGCCCTGGTGGTTCCAAGAGAGCACAATATATATCTGAATACAAGAGAAAACAAAGTACATGTCCCTTTGGGTTCTTCTCTGACTTTACACTGCTGTATACCACTCAACAAATCAGACAGGTGTCGGGTCAACTATGTTTTCGAAGAATTTAACCAAACTCACAAGAACCCAAAATCCATCTGTTGTAATACCACAGATTCAACAAATTGCAACTCCAGCACAGATGGATGCCAAAGTACATGCAAGTTATTTGATATTAGTGAAAGAAAAAATGGATCTTACTATTGTGAAGTCACAGTAGAGATTCCTGTTCTAATTCAAGCTCGCAGCAACAAAACAGAAGTAGTATGTAAGTACTCCAGATTACATTTTCACATGCAATTGTTCAATGTCTACAGTCAGTACTGCTATGATGTGGTTGTAAGCAGACACACGGGCACTTATCGTCTGCCAATGTAGAATATCTGTCAATTTTTATATCAAATTATGTTGTACCTGCTTTTCCAAGCTGTTCATGTTTGTACTTTATTTAGCAGTATGCACTAAAATGCTTACAAACACATCACAGTACTGCAAATATGTTTAAGCACAAATTAACATTTTCGCTGAAAGAAATGCTACACTTTTGCTCTGCCATAAAGCCTGCTGTGATTATGCTTAACCTAATGAATGAATTAATTAATAGATAACCCTAAAATTATGGCTTGCACTAACTGAATGAATGCTTCTCATGCCGCTTTGTTACAGTGGAGAACTTTATGGAAAAAACAGCGGTTCAGTCACAAACGACGAAAAGCCAAGGTGTGTGTGAATGAATATGTGAGCGGGCGTGTTGACCAGACCTCAGCTCTCATGAACAATTCTGTATCTTTAGGTCTCAATGAAATCTGAGTTGATTATTATTTCCACTGTAGGTGCCACTTAAATGTCTAGAATGGTGACACCTCCAACTGAAATGTACACTTGGAAAGAAGTTTATACAATGTTTTTCCTAGCTAATATGTCAAACCTGATTATTTGCTTAATTACATGCTTAACACATATTTTGGATGGTTCTACAAGTAGCTTCGAACCAGTGATTGCCAAATTAAAGGGCAGGACCCCATGTATGGAGAAATTGAACTGCACTGAACTAAATTGAAAAATGATGTTGCTACTTGCACAACATAAAAAAAGTACTTACAAAAACCCCAAAATGCATTGCTGTTGACCCTGTTTGTGTTATTTTACTCTGCTTTATTGACTCCCTGATACTTGTGGACTCAATTTGAAACCGGGGTCAAACATTTCCTCTACTGTTCTTTCAATGGGCAGGAAGCGGAAGAATTGGGTTAATGTTTGATGATATGATTGCTGTGCATACAACACCCGCATCTTGACACTGATCTCAGCCTATCAATTAGGACTGTTGTTCAATAATACAAATGTAATCTTTTTTCAGTTACCAGCCAAAAGGAAGAAAATGACCAGAATGAGAACTTGTGGATGTGGATCGCCGTGGGGGCGTCATCTTTTGTCCTTGTCATGACTGTCCTGCTGGTCATCTGTGTTGTGCAGAAAAGGGGATGCAGCAGAAGCATAGGTACCTCTCTTTCTTTCTGGGTTTGAAAGAGTTGCTAATCATCTGACAGTGCAACACTGAACTGTTTCTCTAGATAAGATCTGTGCAAGTAAGAGACACCAGAGTATGGTAGATGCCCTGAGAAAAAAAAAAAGAAACGGGCACAGGACCAAGAAAAAAGTTAGGGTACAAAAAACATCATAAAACAGAGTCAGATCAAATCAGCACAAGTCGGTAGCTGATTCATTTCTCTGCTGCAATTTACATTTGAAAGAAGAGGTGAAATGCAGAAGGGTTTTCGTTTTGGTGAGGCCATCTTTGTGGGCGGCAGAACAAAAGACAAAAAGTCGTAGAAATGCAACTGGAGGTTTCTGCACAAGTCCTGGCTGGGGAATTCGAACTGAGCAAGCTGGGGGTTTGTGTGGTTTAGCAGCTCAGCGTGAGACAAAGTCAAACGTAAGTGTAAGTATCTGCCTTCTCTGCGGTTTTCATTAAAAGTCAGAGCCGCATCTATAAAAACTGTGAGAACAGGTCACGACCAGCTGACCGGACCTCAGACCAGAAATCGATGCAACGTTTTTCAGAAAATAAGAAAAGAAGCTTAAATAGTTAAACAGTTTTTACACTCACACTTATAAACATGAATGTCGTCTTTTCATGAAGCACTTCAACATGACATCATACGCCGGTCAGATAAAGATATAAAAAACAAAAGGTGCTCATAGGTGCAGATCATTTTGATATCAGGGATGATTTCAGCAACACCTCATGAAAAATGTTCCTAAAAAAAATTAAATGCATCGTGCAGAGAAAGCAGAACAGCTGCAGTAATGGTGTCATGGCGTGGCAAAGAGGCATCTGCCAGAAATACAGAAACCAGACCTGTCAGGTTTGACCACACGGCCCAGAGGCAGAAGTAGGACAAGAACAGAGAGTTATTGTCAGGGCAAAAAGGATTTTATGATCACCAAAACTGACAAAGAAGAGAAAAGAGCCTTTGCATCAGAGGCCAGTGTTTGATCATTTGAAAGAGATTACGAAGGACAGAAAACAATACATTTGAGAACTGTTCAATGCTTTACATCTTGACTTTGCTGATATTTTGACTTCAAATAAAGTTTTTTGCTGTACTTCTTGGAACACCGGGTTAGTAAGAGCATGAAGCATGAAGACCCTTAAAAAGTATGCAAATGTTTAAGCAAAGACGAGACGAGGTCCAGGTTCTGTTTCATGTTTGGATTATGTGAGCAAAGTAATCCCGATAAGTAGAAAACAGCAGGATGAACTGACTTTTAGAGAATATCTGCAGGGTGAGAGTTAGGAAATGTAATTACTTTTTGTATCAGGAAAGACGTATTTATTTGTTTGCCACATAAACATCAATTGTTAACTTGGAAGAAAAAATATGCAACCCGTCACCGACGCTTTAGTCTTATTTTCTGGCTCTTCTCTCTCTCTCTCTCTCCTTAGTTATGTTTAGTAATTAATTTTATTACGTGTTTATTATTTTAAGGTTAAAACTTGCCGTCATTGTCTGTAGCTTGCGACAATTAACTCTAATTTACAGCTGAAGTAACTTCAACGTAAATGTAAAAAAAGTGTTTATTCTGTAGTGGCTAAAGTGTTGAACAACATTTGCTCAGTTCTCAATTATTTAAACTTGACTAAACCTTAATTAATTAAATATTTCCACAATTTTAGCTTTTTTTTTTTCAAACAATTGAAAACAAATATAGAGAAAACATTACAGGTTGATATTGCTAGGTTTAATTTGAATTTCATTAAGTTTTTTATTATATGTCCATTTTAAGAAAACAACAATGCTGAAAAATCAATGCCAACAATAACAATTATTGTTGTTATTATTACTATAACAACAACAACAACAATAATAATAACAATAATAATAATAATATAACATCATCAGCAATAATAATATTGATAACAACAACTATAGTGCATCTGAAATCTTAGTCAGTACTTTTCAGTTTTTTATAAGTTCTTATATTTCACATGCAGAATTTCTACATTATTGTGAATTTTTATTATTTATTTTTTTTATTTATTTTTGTTAATCAGAACCAGTGCTTCTGTGAGATAACTGTTACCTGAGTTACCAGAAGATATATTTATACAAAAAATAAAAAATTAAAATGTAAAAAAAAAAGAAATTATTATTATTATTATTATTATTATTATTATTATTATTATTATTATTATTATTATTATTATTATTATTATTATTGTGCTCACCCTGGCTCCTCTCTCTCCCCCCAGAAGAGCCCGTCTACGTAAACACCCGGATGGGCAAGCAGTCGCCCCGGCCGATGCTTGCGGACAACCCGAAGTCAGCTTCCTCCTGTCAGGACTTGCGGACGCCGATCTCTGCCCGGAGGTACGAGGGCAGAAACCAGAGATACAAATACTGAAGATCCCGCGGACCTGACAGGCCGACAGACTGACATTAATCAGTCATTTCTGATCCAGGCTTTTGTGCAAAGTTTAACCTTCTGTTAGTGAAGGAGAAGAGGCCTCTGTTGGCCACCAGATGACGCACTTTGATGCTTTTATGAACTTCAAAACTTTTTTGCATTTTTTATTATTTTTACCTCTCAGCCTCTGTGTGCATGATCACATTGTAAATATGTTTTGCATGTTAAGTGAACAAAGCAATGAGTTATATACAGATCTAATTATTAGATTTTTTTTTACTGTCACATTTTATATTAAAGTTATTAAAGTTGATATTTTTCTGCTCGTCATTTGGATACATTTTTCTTTTTTTTTTTTTTTTTTTTTTAGAATAAAACTAGAAAACTATGTCACACATTATACGAGATGAAAAAAACATTTCGATGGAAATATGTGGGATCTCCCTGTCCTCTGATTGGCTGTAAAGTGGAGGAGCTTTTTTTTTTTTTTTTTTTAAAGGAAAAGGTAGGGTGTGGTCACGTGATCTGGCGCTGTTCTCTGCTGGATTATTGCTCCCTGCAGGATTTGTTAGGTGTGGGCCGAGCGTTACAGGTGGACCGGAGACGCACGGAACCTGAAACAATCGGAACCGAGTCAGTCCGCGAGGAGTTTCCATGTAGATCCCGGCAGCTGGAACACTTGGTAGGTCCGATCCGATCCGATCCAGGGACTTGCGGACTTGTTTGTGTCCGTGCAGGTTGGCTCTTCTCTCTCTCTCTCTCTTGTCTCTCTGTGTTATTTTTGGTGCCGTTTCCACGGAGCCGCTGGGCATGTGGGGATTTAAACCGAGGTGCGGATGGGATACGCGCAGCGCGCCGTCTATTCCCGGACTTATTCTTGACAGATTACGGGATAAAGTAACCTAATAATAGCAGAGGAGTGAGCAGCAGTGGGATATGCGTCCAAAAACACTTGGCGGCACTGTGGATAGTTTTCCAGTGGGAGACGCGCTCAGAGCAGAGCTGGACACAGATTTCTCCTCACACGCATTTCTACCTTCACGATGTATTTTTTCTGATATAATCCTATATTATTATGATTATTTTTTATTTTATTTATTTATTTTTTTGTGTGAAAACATCACATTCAGTAGATTTGGTTTTCTGACTTTGATATTGAGGGAGAATTTAAAGCTTCTGCTCAGGTTTTGTCCGTCGCACTTATTCAACTCTTCTGATGGAGTTTGCCACCAGCTAAACTTTCTGCTTCATTTTGTCATGTTATTGCACAGCATCATGCAGTCGAGTTAGAAGAGACACCGGCATACGTGCCTGCTTCTGGCGACGTCACAAAAGGCAACCTTCGTCCGAATAATCCAGATGTGTTTTAAATTTATTTTATTTTATTTATTTCTACTCTCCATCCAGTCAAAAGCAGGGTTTGCACACCAAAAATGTGATTTGTAAATTTATACAAATTACATTACATTATTACATTATTATTACATTATTATTACATTACATTAATTTCATCATTTGTGTTTTTATTTGGTTCTCTTTTGACAAAAATGGTCATCGGTGTATACTTAAAATTAACGCAGTTACGCAACTAATTGTGCATCTGATTGTACCAAAAACACAGTTGTTAATGGTAAAAGTATGAGTTAATACAATCTCAAACAACCTTTTTGCCTAATTATTTTTAAACCAATTAAACCACTATAACAGGTTTATGCGGTATCAATAAACATTGCATTTCTTGTTTGACTTTTTTCTTTTTTCTTTTTTGCAATATCTGAAGTTTTTAAATATAATAAGTAGGTAAAATCTTTTGGAAATTTTGGGCCACTACATACCTTATCTCAGTATCATTTCAACGGTTTCTTTTTAGATGAAATCATATGGTTCGACATACAACTCATGAAAACGTAGCAGCTTTTGGAACGGAGTAGACCAAGCTGGAAAAGCCTGATTTCACTATCAAAGAGCTTCAGTAATTATTTTGAGCCGAGTTTTGGAAACCCACAGGGTGTGGTTGATTTGTTTTCATTAAGATGATTTTCAGGTCCCCACCATGTTTCCTGTTGAACGACTGCATCACCTGCCAAGGGGAGAAAAAAATAAATAAATAAAGTAATTGCCCGTCAGTCAGAAGTAAGACGTTCTTTGTGTGTGCTGAGGCAGCATGGCTGTGACGTTTTCTAACATTACACACAGAAACCAGACGGACAAAAGTCTCCAGGCAGGATTTGAAACAACTCCAAAGCAGCAGAAATGCCTCAAACATATTGCCGTATCTTTTTGAATAATTCTAGCTGATCAGCTCGACTCCTGCGCCTCTTTGTCAGTAACCAAAATAACCATGAAGGAGACGCAGCTCTCTTTTTAAAAATGCATTTTGTAAAATCCTGCAATAAAAATTCACGCCTGATATTTAAAACATTTTTGGACAGTTACATTTCTACACAAAGGATCAATTTAACACCATATAGTGGAAATGTTGTGGGATGATGTAAATCTGTACGGGATACATTAAGTGTTGCACTTTCTCTCGGGGGACAATGGCCCAGTTTAGCTGTCGCCCTGCAGCTCAGTGGGCTGACATCAGTGTGTGTGTGTGTGTGTGTGTGTGTGTGTGTGTGTGTGTGTGTGTGTGTGTGTGTGTGTGTGTGTGGAAGCACAGCGGCGCACAACTCAACGTATCATGTACTGGTACTCTGTGGTCTAGCTGGAGATGATGCATGCTGCCGCTGTGCAGAGGGGGGGAGAGGTTTAGTTTCCTGATGCCGCAACATCTTAAATGACTTCTTAGAAGTCATCTCGATCTGGCAGACCCATCAGACTCACGTTGTTAAGTGGTTTCCAGGTCTCAGATGAGTGAGAATCACAACAGTAAGGGGGGAAAAAAAAGGTTGGGGAGGAAAGAGAAAAACCTCTTAATGGTGTTGTTTGTGTGTAAATTTGAACTCATAAACCCAGCTTATAGCCTATTAAGCAGTTTCATCTGGCATCTTTTCTCATGCACTGATATCTAAATGAGTCAAAACATGTTTTAGTGACTGATGGTGCCAACTTTCAGTCTCTGCCACTGCATCTGTTATTGTAAACTCATTCCTCACCTGAAAATGGTTCATTGACTCCTGCACTTTAAATGTCTACTTGCTATCAATCTTTAGCCAGGAGACCCAGCTAAAGATCGATAGCCGGGTAATTAATCATGACAATCACATTACGTTCACTGTGGAGGGAAATCGGTATAAACTACACTTATTCGTGTTGTTCTGTTTGTAACTTGGCCGGTCGTCGTCGTCGTCGTCAGTGTTTACTGACGTCTTTATCAGTTCTGGTTTCACAACTGCTCAACTTCGTTAGAGATGAGACGGCAGAGAAAGTGCCAGAGCCAGTTTGAGTTTTCACCAGCGGTAATCCACTCCTGACCCTCCCTGACTTGTCGGTGCGCACTGCCAGCCAGCTGGCTTAAAGAAAGCTATTACTCTTCATTGCTTGCATCAAAAAAAGTTGTTGGTCGAGTCATCTTTTAAAAAAATATAATGAACATCAAATGAACATTAGCAACATATGCTTAGGATGTAAAACTGCAGTTTCCATTGAATTACCTGCAGCAGATTTTTCCTCTGATGTTCTTCTTCCCTCTGATTGATGCATTTAACTGTTTATTGTAACTCTGTTTTATCAGCAATTCAAATAACTGTTGTGTATTTTTGTCAAGCTGTGATGATGAAAACCTTTTGCTGGAGGTTGTCATCACATGCAGACCCAGCAGGCTGACTTTATATTTTTCTTTCCATGGCTCCCTTCTCAATCCTGACATAAATCGTTGCTCCGCCCGATCGAAAATTTTAAACTGTCACAATCCCCAGATTTTGTTTTCTGGTTCTTCTCGTCTGTCACAGGTTTGCCCTGCGGGATTTACACTCCTGCTGCGACTTGTCTGGGTGTGTGCGCGTGCGTATATGTGTGTGTGTTTGTGTGTTGTTGTTTTTTTTTTTTTTTTTTCCAAAGGACGTTTACACTTGGGCAGGCTTGTCTTATCAATGACGAGCGATTTGTCAAAATAAGAGGAGGATCTTATTCAACTGGTTGCATTTCTACAAGACCTTGTTGTCTTAATGCAGTAATGACTGTTAGTTGTCTGGTGGCTTAGAGCTAATGATACGTGTCGCAGCAGGCCAGGAAGATGTGTGCGCACAGCGTGTTTTTAAAGGATTGCCTTCAGCTCGCCTGCACATCAAAATAAAACCTGACAACCTGCTGTCATTATCATTACTATTATTATTATTTCACAAAATCCGAGCTTGCCTTGCAACAATACGACCCGGATTTGAACCGGGTTGTGTTTTCCAGTGAGCGTTTCACAGCGGCGTCTGTGACAAGAGTGTCAGAGGTGAACTCCCTCCCCACAACAGGCTTCCTGTTTGGGCCCCGGTGATGGAACAGTGAACCAGAGCCAACACGCCAGCGGGCCGGCCGCCGGCCTGCCAGCGGACATCAGCGTCGGGCTTGCAGCCAGGCGCACGGGGCCCGAGTTAGAGAAAAGCAAGAGATCCAGGGGTGGCCTCCGACCTGTGGAACAGTTGATCGTGTAAATCAGTCACGGCCTCGCCCCTGTGACGCAGCGCAGTGCAGGTACCCCGTATGAAGACATCGTACTCTAAAGCCTGTGCCTACGGTGGCGTGACTCACTCCAGCTGTTTGACTGTTAACACAGTATATGTGTGTTTTGTTTTTTTTATCTAGACGTGTTGTGACTCACATGGTTGGCAACACAACGTGCGTGTCAGAACACGTTTCAAGCCCGCTCTGTGTAGTTTTCTGTCACAAGCAGCAGGTTGCCAAAGTATTTGTACCCTTTGAGGTTTTTGTCGGCTTTTGTTTGGGTTTTTTTGTGAGGCAAACCAAGAAGAATTGGTGAAATTGTGTGAAGTAGAAGGAAAAGGTTGCATGGGGATTTGCAAAAGTTTTGCAAATGGAAATAATAATAAAAAAAAAAACCCAGGTGTATACGTTTATTCAGTCCGTTTTATAGGGTAGCAAGTTAGAGTCTGACATTTTTGACGATTCAAGGCCAGTCAGATTGGACAGTGGTCTGTAAATTAGCAGTTCTTTAAATCTTGCTTCAGATTCTCCGCTACAGAATGGATGCTATACACGAGGTTTTGTAGAAGAATAATAAAAAAAAATCACATGCCAGCTCAGGTCAAAGGTCTGCACTTCTGAAATTGCATGTGACAAAATAAAATGGTGGATTTTTTTTTAAAATTTAACCATAAAACAAACTTTTATTGCGGTAGTTTGTGTCACTCTAGACATACTTAGAAGGCAAATGTTGCTAATCGCTGGGTCAGGTGGACGGCCATGTTTGCAGCTGTGCCGTGCTCTTTCTATTTTTGAATGTTGGATTGAAAATTACTCCATGAGAGCAATCTCTTGGGAACTGGTGGCACTCTGTCTTATTTAGGGGCATCGCAGTAATGCACTCCGCACTTTTCAATTCCACCTTTACATTTATCCACTCACATGAGAGTCTCTGAAGTCCACGGTTGCAATGTGACAAGACGTGTAAAGGCTCAGGCGGTATGGGACAGTTTTCCAAAGCGCTGCGCTTGAACCTCAAGGCTTTCTGTAGATAAAGCGGAGGCTATAAATATCATCATGCTTCAAGTGGTCGGAGTGTGGAGAGAT